GTGCGGGGTCCTGCGGCCCCACATCCGCGCGACCCTCCCCGAGAACTCCGAGGTGCGGAGCGAAGGCCGCCCTGGGCCGGCCCCGCGGCTGGGGAGGAAAATGCCCACGTGTGGGGCCCCAAACTGGCCGCGGGCTTCCGGGCAGCTGAGCCCCGACCCCGGCACTTCTCCAGGCCCCACAGACTCCACCAGGGTCCGGAAAGCCCTGGAGGTGGGACTGGAGGTGAGACTGGACGTGCGCACTCAACACCCTGGTGCCAGGCTCGCGGCCAGGTGGGCAGGAGGCCAGGTGGACGAGCTGGGCCTGCAAACCCAGAGGCTGCGCCAGGGGGCGGCCGCGAGAGGGCCACCATTCTGCCTTCCCCTCCTCTCCTCCCTTCCCTTCCCTTCCCTTCCCTTCCCTCTTTCCCCTCCCGCACTTTTTCCCTTTGGAGAACAGGCCTCCACCCCTCCAGCCCGTCGGCCTAGACCAGTGATGGCGAACCTATGACACGCGTGTCAGAGGTGACATGCGAACTCCTTTTTCTGGTTGATTTTTCTTTGTGAAATGGCATTTAAATATATAAAATAAATATCAAAAATATAAGTCTTTGCCCTGGCCGGTTTGGCTCAGTGGATAGAGTGTCGGCCTGTGGACTGAAGGGTCCTGGGTTCGATTCCGGCCAAGGGCACATGCCCGGGTTGTGGGCTCGATCTCCAGTGTGGGGCGTGCAGGAGGCAGCCAATCAATGATTCTCTCTTACCATTGATGTTTCTATCTCTCTCTCCCTCTCCCTTCCTTTCTGAAATTAATAAAGAAATATATTTTAAAAAATAAAATATATATATAAGTCTTTCTTTGCAACTATGGTTGCAAATATCAAAAAATTTCTACATGTGACACGGCACCAGAGTTAAGTTAGGGTTTTTCAAAATGCTGACACGCCGAGCTCAAAAGGTTCGCCGTCACTGGCCTAGACAGACGACCGAATGCCAGTGGCCCTGCCCTCATTCTCGCAAGCTCGCGGCCTGCGGGCAGCTCCTCCTTTACCAGGCGGTGGGTGGGGGCCCTGGCCGGGCGGCTCAGTGGGTTGAGCATTGCCCGGTGCACCAAACGGTTGTGGGTTCGATTCCCAGTCAGGGCACGTGCTGGAGGCAACTAATCAATGTTTTTCTCTCAAAATCAATAAAAAATGTTTAAAAAACATATCCTCCGGTGAGGATAAAATGATAATAAAAGGGGGTGGGGCGGAGTCTGCAATTCCATTTAACACAGAATTTCCCAGACACGGGTCTTCCCTCCCACAGGGCACCCGAGTCCTCCAGCGGAGGCCACTGGGGACGCGCTGCCCGGGGGCAGCCGACAGGTGTCCCTCCTGTCACCAAGGCTGCCAACTCGCTAACACGGACCCAGGGCGTCACTTGTGGGGCCTGGTGACCAAAATAAACTCAGGAACAAAACTGGCCCCGAGGCACGGAGCCTGGGGCAGACTGAGACCTCGGAGGGGAGGGGTGGCAGGGACAGGAAGAGATCAACCAAAGAACATATATGCATGTACGCATGGCCCACGGACACAGGCGACAGCGTGGGGAAGGCCTGGGGAGGGGGAGCTGAGCAGAGGGGGCAATGGGGGGCATCCGTAATACTGTCAACAATTAAAAAATATTTTTTAATCCAGGACAGTCCGGGGCCATCACAGCAGCACCGACCCAGCGTTTATTCAACAGACACTGGGGAGCACCAGGTCCGAGCAGGCATGGGCTCCGCCCTGAGGCCGCGGCGCAGGGGCCGGTGCCTGCTGGTGCTGCGTCCTGGCGGTCACACAGGTCAGTGTGGGTCCCACCGGGGAGGGACCCTCTGCCCTCGTCTACAGACCTTCCCACGTCTTGGTCTTTATCAGTCCCCTCAGTCCCCAGAGCAAAGACAGGCTGCGGGATGGGGGAGATGGGGAGGGGGGGCCAAAAGCGTTCCTGAACGCAGACCCCTAGGCCTGCTCCAGACCCCAGACTCGGGGGGAGCGTCCTGGAGGCAGCATTTTGATCTCAGGTGCTGGCTTTTCGTCCTAAAGCCGGAGGCCTGGTCTGGGGCCCTTCTGTCCACGCCCATGGGGACCAGGAGCTGCAGCCCCAAAGAAGGGGAGGCCCATCGAGGCCTGGCCACGGGCAGGACACGTCGCTGGGACCCGGCACCCCCGTGGAACCCCGCCTGTGACCAGACCCCAGGGGCCCAGGCCCGAGGCGGGCGGTGGGATCAGGGGCCCCCATGTAAGACTCGCGGGCCTCACCCACAGCCGGGCCCACACCCACCTGTTGCCCCGGCGAAGTGTGATTTTGCACAATGAGCCAACCTCTTTGGCCTCCCTGTGTCTCCAGCTGTGAAGTGGGGGTGCCGATGGCCGCTTCCTCGTGGGACGTGGAGTGAAGGGAGACACTTGTGAGGGCTCCCCGGGCCTTGCACACAGTCGGTGCTCGGGCAGAACCCCGGCGCGACCTTCCTCACAGCCTCTGCCCTTGGGCGCCCAGGCCTCCGGCCCCCAGGACGCCCTCCGTCCTGCTCTCACCTCGTTTCTCTCCGCACGAGCCCTGCCAAGGCGGGCGGCCTCCTGTGCAGCCGGGGGCCGCCACCTGTCGCTCGCGAGCTCACCTGGCCCTCCCCACGTGCCCGCCCAGCGCGCTCCGCCACCCCTGCGGCCCACGGCCCTTCTGTGTTGTCTATGCACACGTGTGTGGACACCTAGTTGTGCACGGACACAGGATTCTGCACACGTGGGCGTGCCCGCACGTGTGCACAGGTACATGCACACACGTGCACGCACACATGCACGTCCTGCGCGCACCCACCAGTCTCCCGCGGCCGCACGCACCGCAGCACACGCGGGCCGCCCGGGGACGCGCGCCCGCCGCCGTCGGGAGGCCCCGCCTCGCCGCCTGGGGATGGGCCGCGGCTCGCGCGAAAGAGGCAGGCGGGAGCCGTGCGGCCCACCGTCTCCCCTACGGCACGGCCAGCACCCGAAGCATCGGATTTAAATCTTAAAACCCCGAGGAAAGGGCGGGCGGGAGAAGCGGGGGCCAGCTCCGCGCACTGACCCGGCTGCGGCTCGAACCCAAGGCCCCAAGACAGCGCCGGGCATGCGCAGAAGCCGAGAAGGGCGGGCGCGGAGCGCGGGCGGGCGACGTGCCTCACGTCCCAGGGCCCCGAACACCCACAGTTCCAAGCGCAGGGCCGCGTCCGGAAGTCCATGGAGCCGAGCTTCCTTCCTCGTCCTCTGATTCGCTACAAACCACTTCCATTTCCGCAGAAAGTTCCGAGCCAGTTCCCGACCGTTCAAGAGTCGTGTTGCTGTTTTGTTTCCGGGGGAATCTAGTTTGATGTAGGACACGGGACTTCCGGGTGTTCCTCTCAGCCTTTGATTGGCTGTACTTATGCATATATTAGAGCACGAAAAAAAAGAGGTTTTCCACACGCTAAAACGAATATGGGCGGATTTAGTGTAGACAGTGTGGTCCCTGTAGGATGTGAGTGCTCTTTCTCGTATCTCTGAGACATGTACATAAAGTCACCATGACCTAAAAGTGATGGGATTGGAGGGCTTTAAATAGCAATCGACGCCAAGCTTTAATCGTGTTGTATGAAAGGAGAGAAGGTTAGCACTCCCCTTGACAAGGATGGAAGAGGCTCTCGGGCCTAACAACACGCATACGGTTAAGGCATTGCCACCTACTTCGTGGCATCTAACCACTGTTTTTTTTCCTTCTGCCCCGAGTACAGTGGACCACGTGACTAACAGACCTACCTGCGTGCACAGACCTGTGATGCACCCATGGACGGGCAGAGGCACGTGACTGCTTTGCTCTTTGAGCTGCGTGGCATTCCACTGACACGAGCGCACTGCCTCCGCCCTTACTCCGGACTTCCCTCCTTCCTGCGCACCAGCCTTTGGATGGGGTAGTTCATGGGGTAGTTCGTGTGCCAGGAAAAACTGCCACCTTGACTTGGGCCAAAAAAATAAGTGGGCTCGCTGGTGCCCTCGGTGCAGGCCCTCTGCCTCTGGTGTCTCAGCCATTGCCCGACATACAGGGAGCTGGGCGACGACTGTCACCCACAGAGACGCCACAGCTGTGCCAGGGGAAATGACTGTTGCCCTGTGGGTTTCCACCACTCCTGCCAGTTTTGAATCCATTTGCAAATCCACTTCAGCATGTGACACGGACATGTGTATACGTACTTCTGGTTGCTTTGTTTCCTATGTAGGTTGGTGTTTGAATTCTGAATTGGTGACAATTCCAGCCACGGAGCTTCTGGACGGCGGGCCTGCAGGCGAGCCCTCACCTCCTGGTCAGGGGGGGACCCCGAGCAGCTGGAGATCCACCACCACACACAGGCAGGCCTCGCCGGGGCAGCTGACACCATGTTGTGAACATGTCCGCGCACACGGCCGTTTGCGTTTTGTTCCTTTCGTTTTTGTGAAGCATGCGGACATACATTCTTTTTTCTAAGGTATTAAGGCAACTGGGAAACCTGGACAGCGAATACTTGACTGAAGACTATTTTAGGTGTGTGACGATGGTATGTGATAAGGTTCTGGAAGAGTTTTTTTAGCCCAGCTGGTGCGGATCAGTGGCCGAGTGCTGACCTATGAACCAGGAGGTCTCTGTTCAATTTGGTTGCAGGCTCGATCCCCAGTGGGGGCGGCGGACAGGAGGCAGTCAATATATTTTTTATAAAGAAATCTCTTTTAGATTCTATGTATTTGCTGCCTAAGAATGAAACCCCTGGGGCTTGCACTAACTAACGGGCAGGGGCACAGACAGCAGAGGCGCTGTCTCCGGAGCCGGAGGGCTGGACGTGAGGGTGCCCACTCCCCCTCGTGGTGAAGTCCCGTGACAACCTTCATAGTCGTACAGGCTCATTTTTTAAAAACCATGAACTTTCGCCCGAGGCCCCAGCGGTAATAGGGCCACATCAATTCTACCCCCATAACAGCTACACATGAAGGTAAAAAATTCTCAGGGGACAAAAATACAAGACATGAAAATCTTTATTTCCAAAAAGTGAATGTATTTTTACATAAATCTACAACAGAGAATTCCAATGTAGAAAAAATACACTATATTCAGGATACGGTGCTCCGCACACACCCCTCCTCCCGGGGGCAAACCAACACCAGAACCAACAAAACAAGGAGCGAACTCTCCCGGGAACCGCCAGCCAAGTCCCCGCAGCCTCCGCTCTCCTATCAGGACTCCGAGCGGGGGCGCCCGAGCGATGCGCCCTCTCCCTGTGGCCATTTGTCCCAAAGACGGACAAGCCACGAGCACATCCACTTCCAAGGACGGCCTGTGGCAGCCGCCGCCCAAGGTGCCCTCAGGGCTGTCACCTTCCCCACAGTGGCCACTAGGTGGCTCCCAGGAGGCCTGTGAGGGTGGCCCCCACTTCCTCACAGCCCATCAACTCCAGGCCCTACAAGCTTCATCCACCACTTGGCACCGTCCCGAACCCCAGAACCAGGGCCAGGGCTCAGGAGAGCAGGGCTGAGGCCCAGGCTGTGGATGGACGTCAGCTGACTGCTCACCCAGCCCCGGTGGGTCCGCACCTCCCTCATGCCTCCACTGAAGGTCTCAGAGCTGCAGCCTGGGTTCGAACCCAGGGGGGCCTTGCTACATGCAGGGGTCCCCAGGAGCCAGCCACTGCCACAAACTGCCCTGCAGTCCTGCCCTCACGCCCACCGCTGCCCAGGCTCGGCGGGCCGGGAGGGCCAGGCAGGCGGATGCCACCCTGCTCCCTGCCGCCAAGGACTCCAAGAAACCTGCCGGTCCTTAGGCCGGCAACAGAGGAGAGCCACCGGCTGGTCCCTGGGAGCAGAGCCTGCACCGGGAACTGAGGTTCCGGGGCCTCCTGCACCCCAGCCGCCCGAGAGCCATCTGTAATGTTCGGCAGGACGTTTCAGGGCCGGGCTCCGTCTCAACTAGGCCCTCCCGGAGAGCTCATCCCCGCCCCGTGCAGTGTTCAGTGCAGGGCCCCGTCCCAGCCTTAACCAAGTCCGTGCTTGTGCCAACAGCAGGGAGAGGAGCTGCCAGGGAGCCCGCTGCCAGGGCCCGCCTGCTTCCTGCCTGCGGCGCGGCGTGCTGTGTGGACACCACACACAGCACCAAGCGCCTGAGCACGAGGGTTCACAGACACGGCCTCACAGGGTCTGGGTTCCAGACAACCACACGGGGAACCACTACAGGCAGGGCCGGCGGCAGCGGGACAGGGTCGGGCAGTGCCTGCTGCCAGCCAGGACCTGCGGAGCCGGGCAGAGCGCCGAGGCGACTGGTCACAGCGCTGGCACGGGCAATGAAACATCAAAAACAGTACAGAACGCTTACTGGGAAAACACCGCGACAAACTCAACTTCACCTCACCTTCTGTCATAAAAAATGAAAAGTTTTGTTGACGGAACACAATAGACTAGGAACTCTTCCCAGTGAGAGGAATCGGCAATGTCACCTCTAGAACTTTCTGGTGGGAACTCTCCCCCTTGGCCTAATGGTCCTCAGAGGGGTCCAGGCCCCGCCCCGACCCCCAGCCTGGATCAGGGGAACCCCAGGCTCCGCCCTGCCCATCGGGTCACCGCGGCCGCGGGCGGGCCTAGCAGTCGCTCTTCCAGAGCTTGATGGTCTTGTCGTTCTCCAGCGCGGCCGAGGCGATGATGTTCTCCGTCGGATGGCACGCCGTCGAGATCACCACGTCTGCAAACGAGAAGGTCCAGGCCCTGCACAGGGACCGGCAACAGCCCCAGGGCCGCTCCCCGCCCCGCGCTGACCCCGGATCCACAGCCTGTCCCTGCAACAGCCTCGGGCACCTGGGCGGGGAGCCTGCAAGGGGACGACGGGCCTGAGGGGACCAGGCGCTGCGGGCAGAGGCCACACCAGGCTGGGTCACAGGTGGTCTCTGCCTGGACAACACCCTCAGTGGGGCCGAGCCCACGCCCACCCTCCCCCCACCCTCCCCCCGCCGCCGCCTGGCTAAGCCCTCAGGGCTGCTGTCACAGGAGGCAAGTCCGTGCCATCACAGCAGCGGGCACCAGGCTCGGCAGCTCGATGCCCTGGATTTACAAAGGCTGAAACCCCGAACTTGACCTTCCCCCACGCCCTCGGGAGTAGCGCGTCCGCCCCGGCTGCCCCCGAAGAGTGCCGCGCCCCAGGGAGAGCAGGCCCCGTCGGTGCCCCTCCGCCTCTGGGGTTAAGCCATGTGGGGGTGCTGCTGCTTCTCAGGGAACACACCACTCTCTACTGACTATAGAAGGTGGGTGGGGGGGACAGGCAGCTGGGGCAGGGGCAGCCCGAATGCTGAGGAGCCAGTGAGGGGGTGGAGGGGCCCCCGAGTACTAAGGAACAGGCCTGCCTGGAGGTCAGAGCCCTAGGAGCAGGGCCTGCAATGGACAGCGGCGTCCTCACTCCCGGGACACACTGGGCACGGGCCAGCGCACAGGCCGCCTGCACGGAGAAGCCACAGAGCCGCATGGACTCGAGGCCAGGCAGCCGAGGGGAAGAGGCGGAAGCCAGGACCTGGTGCTGGCCAGCCACTCCCCAATGGGCAGCGTCCCCAGGGCCAAGCACTACACCCGCCTCGCTGCGGGCAGGGCCCGGCCAGCTCACCTGTGTGGCCCTGCAGCTTCTGCACAATCTCCTTGGTCTGCAGGTTCCAGATGTACACCAGGTTGTCTTCTGAGCCAGACACGATCCACTGGGCAGATAGGGACGAGGTGAGGGGAGTTTCCCACAGCCCCGGAACTCACCCCTCCCTCCCGCACCGAGTACTGTCCTCACCCCCCTCCCGCGCGCCACTCAGAAACAGAGCCACACACAGGGGCATCTGGGATGTAAATGTTTTCTTCAGTTACCACTTTATAGGTTTTGTGTCGCTTACATTTCAGCTGAATGTCACATCTCCTCAGTCCCACTCCCCTGGACTGAGGCAGCATGGCCTGGGGCCCGGCTCTGGGCGGCCCCGGCTCTGGGCAGCATGGCCCGCTAGGCGACCACTCAGACGCCCGCCCATGCCCACCGCTCCTGAGAGCTGTGCCAGGTCCGACTTACGGGGCCGGCAGGTTCAGGAGCACCCGAGTCATGACAGCCCCTTTCTGAGTGACGGCCACAACTCCACAGTGTGTGGCTTTGTTTTCAGTTTTTTGTGTACTGTTTTGTGCACAGGGGCCTCTCAGGATGGCCCTGGGAAGGACGGCGAGAACTCACCTTCCCCCCCGTCACGGAGAAGTTGGCAAATATGCAGTACTTCTCGTTCTTGTGCCCAGTGTACGTCTTCAGGCACTGAAAAGACACGTGCGCGGTCAGAGGCCCGCATCCCTGCCTCCTGACAATTCCCCGAATGCTGAGTGCTCGCCCTTTAAGGCCAACCCAACGTCATTGTGAAAAGCACTCAAATGCCCACAGCACAAACCCACGTGGTCAGAGCTGCCGTGCCAGCTGCAAACACCCAAGTCTTGGAGAAATTTGCACCAAACCAACTCAATGAACATGGCTCTCTGAGTCCCCCCAGCTCCAGGTCCCGCTCAGCTCAGCCATCACCCAGAACCCCACCTGGCCTCCATACACCCGGCCCGGCGGGTCACCTCTGCTGCTTACCTTCCCTTTGCTGTAGTCCCAGAGTTTCAGGGTGCTGGAAGGAAAGAGGGGGTCACACACGCTCCCCGGCTGCTGTCACTGCGCCCTCTGCAGGCTGGAACCCCCAGGCGCAGGTGCAGGTGCCAGCAGTGCACGGAGCCCCAGGATTTGAGGACACCCCAGAGCACAGCACAAGAACCCCAAATATTTAGCTCAAAGACATTTTGAAAGAAAGCTGCTGGCTGCTCCCACACCACTGGGTGGTCACCTCATGCCTGCTGGAGGGACATGGGGGGCCTAGTTCCAGAAACATCCCAACCAGACTTGAGCACAGCACCCGCCTCCTGGAGCAGAAAGGCCCCCACAAGGGAGCTGTGGCGGGAAACGCCAGGGGCTCAGCAAGGCACCCCCACCCCCGGCCCCCAACGCGGACTCAGCAAAGCCCATGCCAAAGGCGCTCCCATGGAGGGCGGCCAGGGGGCTGCCGGGGAACCTGCTCCCAGGCACGTGTGGGGGGAAACGGCGCAGGGCCAGACACAGCTCAACCGTCCCCAGCCCTGCAGCTGGGAGGCCCGCCCCGGGGAGGAAGCTGGGGGTGGCGGGAGCACTCACTTGTCCAAGGTCGCTGCCAGGATGTACTTGCCGTTCGGGGAGAACTTCACAAAGGACACTGGCGGGTTGTCGTCGTCTGCGGGAAACAGGGGCTGAGGCGGGGCTCGGGCCAGGGGCGGGAGGAAGCACCCCTCGCTGCTCAGGACCCTCAGGTGAGGCCGCTGCCACCGGTGCCAACACCGCCGCCCCGCGTGCCCCCGGGAGAGCCTGCTCGTGCCTGTCCAGCCCACGGACCCCTGTGGGGCCATCACCCTGACACGAGGGCTGGGGAGCACAGGGCTGCAGCAGTGCAGACTCGGGTTGCCAGCCCCCCACGGGCAGTGAGCCATCCAGCATCAGCTTCCTCACGTGAAACATCCACACGCCCAGCCAGGCGGGGTGTCAGGACGACGCAAACCATTTGGGTGAATGCTCTCAGGTGTCTTCCGTGACAGTTTTGCAAAAGATTTGTAAGTTCCTCTAGGAAAATACCATTGCACCCACACCACTGCGTCTGACCCCCGGCAGCCCTGGGGCCGCGGCAGGAGCCACCGAGGGCTCAGCATCACCCGACAGCGCAGGGGTCAGCACTCCCAGAGACCCCACAGGAGGGGCCTTTCCGCCACGTGAGTGCTGTGCTCCCCGGCCAGGGCGAGAGGACCGGGGCTTGCACCTGGAGCGGGAGCAGGGGCGGCTGGCGTCCCGAGCGCCAGGGGAGTGGCATTACCACTCTGGAGAACCCGAGCCTGGCTGCCGGGCACCTGGGGCCTGTGCCGCTCGCTGGTCCAAGACACTGGAAAGGCACGGGGAAGGCGTGAGGCTGCCAGCCCCTGGGTCCCGGGGCCCCGCCAGGAGGCAGGTGGGTAACACCGGCGAGATGAGGGGCACCGACAGCCCCAACCCAGCCCCTGAGCACAGCCTCAGCAGGACCGTGTGCTCCAGTCCAGAAGGTTCTACCTCCTAGACCTTGGCTGAGAAACGGGACTGGGAACCGCTACCCGCCTTCCCCAGGCTCCGGGGTGCTGCTAGCCTTTTGCTGGTTAACCTCTCTGGCCTCAGTTTCCCGCCCGCTGCGGGGTGGCCGAGCTGATCAAAGGCTAACATAACTGGTTAACAGAGAGCAGAGGAGCTGCACCGGGCCGCCCGGGAGAGATGCCGTGTCCGAATGCGGGATGTCGCTGTGGGAAGTAAGGACGCCGCTGTCCTGGCCCGTTTTGCTCAGTGTCAGAGTGTCGGCCCAAGGACCAAAGGGTCACTGGCTCGATTCTGGGTCAGGGCACAGGCCCGGGTTGCGGGCTTGAGCCCGGCAGGGCCATACAGGAGGCAGCCGATCGATGATTCTCTCATCACTGATGTTTCTCTCTCCCCCTCTCCCTTCCTCTCTGAAATCAATAAAAATACCTATCTTTTAAATCAATGGAAAAATATTCTCGGGTGAGGATTAACAAAACAAAAAAAGTGAGGCCCTCCCAGGGGCCATGACCCAGCTTGAATGGGTCTTAGGAATCTGACACCAGCGCACAGAACAGCCCCTGCGAGGACCTAGGAGCCGGGAGCCTCAGGGACCAGCCCTGCAGGCGGAGGGCGAGCTGGGCGGCCTGAGCTGCCCCTCAGCCTCCCCTCCCCCCACCCGCCCCACATGCTTCCATGGCAGCCTCGGGAAGGAGCTTAGAGGCGCACAACCCCATGGCCATCCCCTCCACGTGGCTGCTGGCTGCACGGGCTCCCTGGACTCCCTCCCCAGAGCCTTCCCAGGCCCGAGGCCCCGCGGGGCCCATGGCACCCTGCTCACAGGCACAGCAGGCCTGCAGCCCGCCCATGGCACCCACCAGCCAGCCCAGGCCAAGTCTTCCCACTCCAGGACACCCTGGCCCAGAGCGCATCCCCCCTCTAATGCCACCTGCAGTGACCTCAGGGCCTCTGCTCCGGGCTCCTCCACACCCCTCCTCTGAGCACGCCGGGAGGGCAAGGCGCCCCTGGAAGGACTAGGAAGAGGCCCCAAGGCCGAAGGCAGCCAGGGCCTGCCGGGCACAGGCAGAGGGCTCAGGCTGTCAGAGGACAGGTGGGGCAGCCCGGTGAGGCGGGCAGGAGCGGTGGGCGATGGGAGGGCGGCAGAGGAGGGAAATCCTCCCAGAGGAGCAGATGCAGGACAAAGAAGGGGCTCCCAGAACCTCAGAAGGTGAGGGCGGGCGTGATGGAGAAGAGCCCTGCCCCCCAGGGCCCGCGCGGCGCTCACCGATCAGCGTCTTCAGGCACTGGCCAGAGGCGGTGTCCCAGATCCGGCTGCAAAGCAGAACGAGTTGTGAAGAAGCAAGTCACAGCAGGTGGCCTGCGAGCGGTTCTCAATCACACAGCTTTAGAGGGAACGCGCTTCCCCCGCGCGGTCCGCTCACTCGGCCGCTGAAGCTTCCCTCGCACGTTCCAGGGACCAGAAGGGGCGCTGCGCACGCCACGGACCCGTGTGCTCTAGCTCCTCTCCACAGCAGCGACCACAGGGCGACCGCCAAGGAGCAGCGGCTGGCCCGCCGCCCCACAGCGGGGCCTCCCGCACAGGCACCGGGCTGGCCCGCCGCCCCACAGCGGGCCTCCCGCACAGGCACCCGGGCTGGCACGCCGCCCCACAGCGGGCCTCCCGCACAGGCACCCGGGCTGGCACGCCGCCCCACAGCGGGCCTCCCGCACAGGCACCGGGCTGGCACGCCCAGCCCTCCCGCGCTGGCACCGTCCACGCGCACGCGCCTGCCAGCACCGAGGGCATCACTTCCTCCCTCCCCAGTGGACATCCATCTTTAAGTCCCACGGGCCTCCGTGTCCCCGTGGCTTCCCACCCGCTCGACACCCTTCCCCATCACTCCTGTCAGGCCTGCAGTGCCACTCTGAGGTGTTTCTGGAAGAGGACGAAGGGTCAGAGGGTTTTAACCCCAAACTGACAGCCTCCTCCCAACACCCAGACGCGCTACGCCGCGGCCCCCCAAACCCGCCCTGATGCTCACTGAGTTCATCTAAACCAGCCGTCGCCAACCGGTGGTCCGTGAGGTTGGCGACCACTGACCGAAACCACATGTGCATCTTCCCTCCTGCGCCTCCACCCCTGCACACGGGCTTCACACCCCCAAGCTCCACGACCACGATCCCCGAGGCTGCACCGACGGTCTGCCGCCACCCTGTCCCCCTGCCGCCTGCGGTGGGTGTCCGGAGTCACCGCTCGGGACTGACAGCCTCTGGACGCCAGGCAGGCCGGCTCCGACTCCTCACCGTGAGCCGGGCCTTCCCCGCCCAAGGCCCGGGTGCCTGGCCGGTCCATGTCAGTGTCCACAGGCACTCAGTCTGGTCCAGACCTCGCGGGGAGGCACCCTCCCGCCACACACACACACACCTGCCAGGCACCCCGCCCCCCGAGGCTGTACTGGGTGTCCACCCGTCCGCAGCCCTCGCTGCTCCGGAGGGCAGAGCCCGCCGGCTTCCCGCTGCTGCCACCCGCGGGCCACGGCTCATAAGCACGTGTCGCCAAGGGGAGGGAGCACCTCCACTCACCAGAGCCCGTCGTAGCTGCTGGACACGATCAGGGACCCGTCGCGGTTGAAGTGAACCTGCGGGGAGGGGGAGAAAGACTTGACGCCAGCAACACGGGCTTCTTCCCACAGCCCCACCGGCGGGCAGAGGGCCGCTTTCCCCTGGGGCCTCTCAAGCGAGTTTCGAGGAGGAGCCACAGAAAGACCAGCCTGCACTCCGCCTGGAGGAGGGAATCGCTTACTAGGAAACGGACTGAAAGTAAACCCATGGCCACAGGAGCCCACTCCTGAGGGCCTGTCCTGTCCGGGGATCCGGCCTCTAGTCGTCGCTGTCGCCCACTCACCCCAGTGAAGGCAGCCTGACCCAACGTAGCCAAAAATGACTTCCCTTGACATTGCTTTACAAAAGCAAAAAAAACCAGGGGGGAAACCCCCCGATTCAGTAGCCTCCTAAGAATGGACGCTGGTGGCTTCTCACCCAGGTGCCCGCCCACGGCCATCCGAGCGCCAGTCCCTGACAACGCACCACTGCTCCAGGCCCCGGACAGGGACACCACACCCGGGGCTGCCTGAGCAGCCTGGCGCTGCAGAGGGCACAGGAAGGAGACCCAGGCGGCCCCAGGCTGACGGCGGTCCGGCCCCCAGTGACCTGATCTGAAAGTCTAGCTCTGCTGGGGGAGGGGACACACCTTCCCACAAATACGTTCCAACCCGACATGTCCCTTTCCTGTAACGGATTCCCCTCTGGGGTTTTCCTCCTTTGCCCCAACTGCATCTCAGTGCCAAAGGGTCACAATGTCCGAGGGAGCCTTCACACGCGTCCCTATTCTTTCTGTTAAGTCCTGAGCCGACGTGACCCAGGATAAGCCTTCTTACAACAAATACCACCTTTAAATAGGCTGTCTTCCTTCCTGCTACGGACCGCTCCCAGGTGAGATGGAGGCGCAGGGCAGCCCCGGGGCCACGCTCTCAATGGAGCCATCAAGCCTGTGTGCAGTGTGACTGCACTGCTGGGCACACGCTGGCCCCTGCAGGACCGCAGGGCTCGGACCCCACGGAGCAGGATGGGCGCTCTCGGGCCCACCCCCCACCGCTCTCACCACAACCAGGGATTCTCACCGCAACTGGGCCGCCCCCCCGCCCCCACTGCCCCCCACTCAGCTACTGGCTTCACTCTAAGCTCACACTGTACCCCGTCACACTTCCCAGGACTGAACGCTCGACTGCAAGGTTCCGTCTGGGGACACCACTCCCCCACGCTACAGCCACCTGCCCTTCCACGGACTGAGATTCTACAGGGTCACCATCCACACTGCAGGTGTCGACGGAGACTGGAGCTCCCAGGTCAGTGGGACTTACGGCGGAGACAGGGTCCGAGTGCGCAGGCAGGGTCTTGAGGCACTTCCCCGTCTTCACATCCCATATCCTCACGCTCTCATCGAACTGCAGACAAAGGAGAGATCCAGGCCACTCACAGGGAGGACAGGAGTGGACAGACCTTCGGACCCAAACTGCCCCCAGCCCCCGAGCAGGTCACTTCTGTGCTCCACCCCCGCCCGGAAGAGGCCAGCACACTTACGGAGCCTGAGACAATGAGGTTGGACTGCGGGTTGAAGTTACAGCAAAAGACATAATTACTGTGTCCCTTCAGGGTTTTCAGACACTTTCCCTACAATGAAATATTGACAGACTATCATTCCAGCGACTGACGGCGGGGCCAAGCTGACCGATGCACACCTGGGAAGCACGCCTGGGAGAGCCAGGCCGCCAGGCCCCGCTGCCCCCCCACCCCTCTCCACTCACACGCTTCCCCAGGAGGGACCCCGAGTCTGGCTTACCGAGCTCACATCCCATATCTTTAGGGTTTTGTCATCTGAGGCAGAAACAAGGAGGTTAGAATCTGAGGACCAGGCCACATCGGATATTCCCTGGGGAGAAAAGACAGAGGGTCACCCCCTTGAGGGACAAAACACAATGAACCTGCAGAAGCCAAATCCCCCCTCCCATCCGACTGGACACACAGCCCTCGTCCCTCTCCACATCCGCAGCCAGCGCTGAGCACAGCGGACCCCGCCCGGCCGAGGACAAGCACGCTCTCGGCGGCTCTGCAGGCCTCACCGTGGGCAGAAACTCGTCCGGGACGCAGGAGTATTTGCTTAAAAAAGCAAGAGGTGGCAGCTCTGGCCCGTGGTTCAGTGGTTAGTGTCAGCTCTCACACCAAAGGGTTGCGGGTTCAATTCCCGGTCGAGGGCAGGCACCTGGGTTGTGGGATGTCTTTCTCTCTCTCCTAAGCCCCACGGGCCCTTCTTTTGCCTCTGTAACTTGTTCCCTGAGCCCATGTGAACCAGTGGGCTCACTCTTTCTACCTTGGTGACTTTTCTAAATAAACTTCCACTTGTATTTGAAAAAAACGAGCAGATGCAAACAACTACCAAAAAGAACCTGGCAGGGTCCCGCCAATGTGGCTCAGGGGTGAGCGTTGATCCATGAACCAAGTGACTCCCGGTCAGGACACACCCGGGTTCTAGCTCCATCCCCAAGCGGGGTGTGCAGGAGGCAGCCGATCTTTCTCTCTCTATCCCTCTCCCCCAAATCAATAAAAAACATATTTAAATAATAAAAAGAATTCGGGGGGAAACTCAACATAACTCCACAGGCCTGAGAGAGGGGCCCCACCCACGTGATGGCTGGAGCTACGCTGTCCAGCAGCCACCGCAGTGTGCAGGGCCGATACCTACCAGCTTGTGACCAGATATAGTTTTCTCGAATTTCCCATCATAGGCGCCCCAAATTTTAATGAGCTTGTCTGCAGCTGAAGGAAAGGAGTAACAAAGAGCCAGTCATCCACAGTCCAGAACATGGGTTTCCCACCTGAGCCCCCGGGAACAGTGTGAGGGACCCTGAGGAGTGCCACCCACACGGAACAGGCAACACTCTCCACAGCCCGGCCCCTGCCCACCGCCATGCAGAGTGGCAGTGGGCACAATTTCAACGGGGAATGGATTCTTCCAGGTAAACTCGGAAGCACCGGCGCAGAGGGGTGTCGGAAAGCAAGTCCCCTTCTCCCCGCCCCACACACACCGGTTTCTCCCGGCCACCAAGGCCCCGCTGATACCTACACGAACTCGCCAGCCACTCCCCGTTCGGGCTGAACTTCACAGAGGACACGGCTTTCGTGTGGCCGGCCAGGGTGAACTTTAGAGCATAGTTCGGTTTCACAGGTGTCGGCTGGTGAAGAAACAGCACTCGTCAGCGACAAGTACCCACCATCAAGCCAACCGTCAGCCTGGATTCGATTCCCAAAACTGAATGTCAAGCTCAGCCCTCCGGCTTGAGCTCCACGCCACGTGGCTACCAGAGCTGTCTGCATGTCACCTCAACCTGAACAAGCAGCCTGAGCTCTTACTTCTGCAGCCCTCACCTCAGTGCCTCGGCTCCAGCACCCTAATCCCACCCACCCAGACCACCAGCACCCACCTGTGCCAACCGGGAGGGCACCCGCCCGCCCGCATGCAGCCCCAAGCAAACCGGAAGGCTGCTCCCGGTGAAAGGTCTGCAGGGGTCTGCACCTGCCCAGGCATCAGAACTGCGGCCCGGGAGGGGGGCTGCAGAACAGCGCTGCCTGGGCCCTGGACTCTCACAGGAGGACTGAGCAGCTGTGTTGTTGCTAAGGCCCCGCCCCAGGGGACGGGTCTGGAAACCACCAGTCACAGAGCACCATCGGCAGCAGCTGTCGGGCGGGGAGAACACCCTGATGGACCTGCAATGCCATTCCCAAGCATCTTGCAGCCCGTGCCCCCTGCAGTTCCCCAGGAGCCGCGGGGACTTGCCTTGCTCTGCGTGGCCGATGACGAGGGGGTGGGCTGCGCTCGGGCAGCCTCTGCCTCCGGCTTCTTCTCCTCCGTTGCCATGGCTCCGAGGCCCACCGGGCAGCAGGGAGATGCAGGCGGATGGGTTCACAGCTCCACACAGAACACTCAGCACAGGAAGAACTCTGGGCTACCGTAGCCTACAGTGGGGGACCTAGGCCAACAAGCAAACCATATTTTAAAAGGCAATTTCCAGGAAAAAGGATAAAAACCATTGGAACACCTTACAGAGCCTGGATCTGCTGCTCCAAATGGAGGCGCCTGTTACCCTAACTCCCTAAAGCTTTCAGAGGCTGCCAGAGCACCGAGCCCCCGCAGGCTCCTGCCCTGGCTGTGATCAAAGGCCCCTCCTTCAAGGCTGCTCCCCATTGTTACCTGCGGGCCTGCAGGAATGTGGGAATGCAGCCCCGCCCGCCCAGTAAACACAACCTCTTCAAAGGGCCTTGCAAGTTATAAACCACTGAAGGCTGCTTGTCAGGGAACCAGCCGGGTTCCGGGTTACGGGAGGCTGCGCTTGGGGTGCACACACGTGCACCCGGGGATGCAACAGCTGAGCCCCGCCTGCAAACCCAAGGGCTCCCCCGGCCCTGCCTGCTGTGCCACCGTCTGCATGAGGCTGGCGCAGCGGGAGGGAAAGCCTGGCTCCATTAGGTCTCACCACGACCATGGGAACTGCCCTCCCAGAAGCACGCCCACAGGGGGCTCGGAGGGGAGCCACCAGGGTGTTCTTGTAAGCACCATGGCCATCCAGCTCCCGGAAGCTGGAATCACCATCAGGAGTTTGCACTGTGAGTTCTTGCTTGGAGCTTAAAACTGAAGTGTGCACAGTGAAGCGAAATGGAAGCCATCAGAAAAAGAGCAGGTCTCAGGCTTCATCCACGAGGGTTGGGAATTACAACGCAGCACAGCTGAGCAGAGCACCCGCGGCCACGGCTGGCCACCTGCGGCGAGGGGCCCACTGCACCGCGTGGGGGAGGGGAGGGGGGGCAGTCCTGCCGGGGAAAACGTGCTGGCACTCAGCTGCCGTGGGCAAAGGCTACTTGGGCTGGACCAGTCCCGGGAGGGAGGAGCACGGACCAGGGCTAGAAAGTCCCTTCCGGAGAGCCCAGCCCCGGGGATGCCCGACCACACGGGGCTGAGGCCAGTGTGGCTCCCGGGGCGCCGGAGCCCCGAACCCGCGGGGCCAGAGGAGGAGAAAGGAGCGCTTCAGGGGCCAGAACAGCGCGTTTTAGCATAAAAACTGAGGCCCGGCAGGAGGTGCGGCCTGGCCAGGCAAACCGGCCGCCCTCAGGTGAGGACAGAGGGATGCCCAACCCTCCGCGCGAGCCAAGCATCCGCGCACAAACCCAGCTGGGCTTCCAGCCGGCCCCCACGTTTCTCCCTAAGGGGGGGGGGGGGGGAGCGCGGCATTTTTGGCATTTTTAAACTCTGGGTGGTTCCTGGGGCCACTGGGGAGCCGGCTGGGGACTGGCCCCTTGGAAAGGCGGTCTGGGAAAGGGGACACCAACGGCCGCTGGCGCTGGTCCCCCGGGCACCCTACCTGCCCCCAGGTGCTCCCTAACCTCCTGCGGCCAAGCCCCGACCCCGAGTGCTTCCGGCTGCAGGAAACAGGCAGGCTCCTGAGCTGCAGGGCAGAGGCCAGGCCCACGGGCGAGGGGGCACAGGAGGCAACCTGGCGACCCCAGTGGCCAGCCCCGCGGGAACAGCGCTCCCCGCACCGGCGCCCGCGCTCGGGCCGCCTCACCTACCGGTACGCCCGGGAGGCAGCGTCCAGCGCCGGGTCCGCCAAAGGGTCCGTGAACGGACCCGGGTGGGAGGGAAAGCGACCGGGAAGGCGAGCCTTTCACATCACCCGGACGGCCCCGGCGGACCGGACCGGAAGGGGTCGCCGGCTCGGGGCCCGCCGCGGGGGCCTCCCCTTCCGACAGCGAACCCCACCGAACCTGGGCCCGGGGCTCTCGGGGAGACGGGGCCTGGCCGCCTCGGGCTGAGGCCGAGCAGCAGGTCGGGGTGCGGGCGCGCCCGCAGCGGATGGCAGAAGGGGTGCGCGCCCGTCCAGGCCCGGGGCGCTCGTGGGGTGGGTTTCTTGGAGGCGCCGTGCAGACGGGGGGGACCTGCTGGCTGGCTGCGGGCTTGTCACTAGGCCCATGGGCAGCGGCCGCCCGGTGAGCGCCGGAGGTCCCGGGAGCCGCTGGGGGCCCGTGGGGGGAGGGGACGGGACCTCCGCGGCGAGGCTCCGGTGAGGAGAGGGGCCCCGCGATCGGCGGGAAGAGGGGCGCAGGCCGGGTACCCGGAAGGCGAGGCGGCATGGGCGCGCGGGGCGTCTGCATCGAGGGGCCCGGCGCGCGGGACCGGGCTGAGGCCGGGCCCGCCGGAACACGTGGGGCGGCGGCGGTTTGGGGTGCAACGGCGTCAGTCCCCCGCGCGTGCCCGCAGCCCAGGCGCCCCCCATTTACCTGCGGGGCCGCGGCGGGAGGGAGCGGGCAGAGCGCCCCGAGAGTCGCGTCGGCCGCCGTCTGGGCGGGAGCCGGGCCGAGCAGCACTAGGCGGCGCGGAGCCGGCGGTGCGCGTGCGCGAAGGGCCGCAGCAGCGTCGGGGCGGGGCGAGCGCACAAAGCCGGCCTCTCGGAGGGGCGCTACGGGGAGCGGCGAGGGCCAGAATGCCTTGGGCAGGCCCTACGCCTTAAAGGAACAGTACATAGTGTGTGCTTCCTGCTTAAAAGCCTTAACCCATAGGTAACCGGTTGCAGGCCGTTCTCCTCCTGCGCTTTCTAGAAACTGAAGTATAAAAACACTACCGCAGGGAGAGATTAAAAATGGCGGCAGAGAAGGAAGATGCTGCATGGACATGCTCCCAGGAACAAGCTGGAATTACAACTGAAATACAGAAAGGCTTACTGAATAATCAATGGAAAACTCACAGGAGAGAACCCTGATACCAAAGACCGAAGGTGGAGACAGCATAGAGACTGGTAGGAGGGGCAGAGGTGCGAAAGGGCTGGCCAGGCACCAACAGATGGCAAATGAAGTCCCGGAGAGATATCTCAGCTGGGGGGGGACTCTGGGATCTAATCCCAAAGCTGAGCTCCCCAGCAGAGAGCACCAAACTGAGGAGGGTACCCACATACCATCTAGCTGTGAAAAGCAGCTTTTGGGGTGCTGTCTGCCAGGGAGTGGCAGCTGAAAGTTCGGACACCCTCTTAAAAGGGCCAAGGCACAAACATTCCCTGTGGAGCCACCCGCCTGGTGCTCTGGCAGAGGGAGGGTGAAGTGGTCTGGAGCTGTGAGAGCAGAACCCAGGATGACAGACTCGGGAGATGGAGCTCAGAAGGCAGACACCCCAGTTTCCTGGGCTGAGATGTCCCTCTCACAGCAGAGGACTTCTTCCCCACATGGACATCTGCCTTGCCTGGGGGAAGACAGTCCACACACCCTATTGGGAAACACCTTGCCCTGAGGCCACCTAAGAGATTAAAAGTAACAATCAGCCTCCAGGCTGAGGCACCTGCCTCACCCGGTTGGAAAAACTCTCACCGCCCCTGAGGACCATGGCCTGGGGGCAATTCAAGTCAGAATCGGATTAGTCTAGGTCAGTGGTTCTGGCCTTGGCTGCACCTGGGAATCACCTGGGAATCTTTTCTGAATCCCGATTTCCGGGCCTCGACCTCCGGAAATTCTGTTTCTTTGTTACTAATGTTGTGGCCCCACCCCCTAACAAAGAGGCAGGGTTTCCGGAGGGTGAGGCCCAGAAGTTAGGATTTGGGGAGGAATCCCAGGTGATTCTAGGGTGCGACCAAGGCTGAGAACCACTGGTCTAGGTGGTATCTGGAGGCTTTGAGTCTATTGCCTGACCCAATTACAGTGGGGCCTTGACTTACCAGTGTCCCGACTAACGAGTTTTTTGAGATACCAGCTGTCTCTCGGCGGATTTTTTGCATTGAGTTGATAGAGTAATTTGAGTTAACGAGCTCCTTAACGCGGTCGGTCTCGGAACGAATTAAACTCCTAAGTCAAGGCCCCACTGTAGTCAGAAACAGCCTTTAACATCGTCCTGCACTAGAGATGGAGAGGTGTAGAGAGGATCCACCTAAAACATAGTCACAAACCCGAACAGCCGGCCAAAATGAGGAAACAAAGAAACAACCCCCAGATGATAGAACTGGGGAATTCTTCAGAAGAAGAGATAAAGGAAGCAGAGAAGAAATTTTTCTGAACAGAGTTCAGAGTAATGATGTTAAAAATGCTCGACAGTATGAAAAAAGAATCGGCAACTATGAAAAAAGAACAGCCTGAGATAAAGAATGACATCACACAAATAAGAACCCATTGGAAGGAATACACAGCAGAGAGGAGAAGCTGAGGACTGAATCAGTGAATTAGAAGACAGAGTTGAAAATATCACTCAATTAGAGAACCAAAAAGAAGAAACAAGTAAAAAAAAAAAAAAACAGGAGGACAGCTTACAGGAGCTGTGGGACAATGTGAAACGTAACAATGTTAGAGTAGGTGTGCCAGACGAGGCAGAAAGGAATAGAGCAGTTGTTTGAAGCGATAATGGTGGAAAACGTCCCTAACCTGGTAAAGGAAAAAGTTACACAAGTTCAGGAGGCACAGAGAACCCCAAACAAGGAGAACCCAAACAGACCCACGCCCAGACACATCATAATTAAAATGCCCAAAATTAAAGACAAAGAGAGAATCTTAAAGGCAGCAAGAGGAAAGAAAACTGTTACCTACAAAGAGTTTCCATAAGGCTGACACCTGATTTCTCATCAGAAACTCTACAGGCCAGAAGGGAATGGCATGAAGTACTCAAAGTAATGGAAAGCAAGGATCTGAGACCAAGATTACTATATCCAGCAAGGCTATCATTCAAAATAGATGGTCAAATAAAGAGCTTCCTAGACACACACACACACAAAAAAGCTAAAGGAGTTCATCATCACCAAGCCAGCATTACAAGAAATGCTATAGGGATTGCTGAGAAGAAGAAATGGAGAGAGAAACCTCGCCATACAGAACTAAAATGGCTCTAAATAAGCACCTCTCAATAATAGCCCTAAATGTAAATGTTTTAAATGCTCTAATCAGAAGGTGTAGGGTAGCTGATGGATAAAAAAACATGGCCCAACTATATGCTGTCCACAACAGACCCACCTCACAACAAAAGACACACACGGGATGAAAGTGGAGGGACAGGAAACATTTTCCATGCAAATGGAAAAGAAAAATAAAGCTGGAGCAGCAATACTCATATCTGACAAAATAGATGTTAAAAGCATCATGCTAGGCCAGCGGTTCTCAACCTGTGGGTCGCGACCCCTTTGGGGGTTGAACGACCCTTTCACAGGGGTCGCCTAAGACCATCGGAAAACACATAATTACATATTGTTTTTGTGATGAATCGCTATGCTTTAATGATGTTCAATTTGTAACAATGAAAATACATCCTGCATATTAGATACATAACAGTAGCAAAATTGCAGTTATGAAGTAGCAACGAAAATAATGTTATGGCTGGGGGTCACCACAACATGAGGAGCTGTATTAAAGGGTCGCGGCATTAGGAAGGTTGAGAACCACTGTGCTAAGCCAAATAAGCAAGTCAGAGAAAGATAAATATATGATCTCACTCATTTGTGGAATATAATGAACAACATAAACTGATGAACAAAAATAGGGCAGAGGGAAAAAATATTCCAGAATACAATGGGGCCTTGACTTACGAGTTTAATTCGTTCCGTGATGGAGGTCGTAACTCAAATTACTCGTATGTCAAATCATTAAAGTGAACGAGTGAGACACGTGATGCTGGGCTGATGTGGTGGCGTTCACTGTGACGTTGGCTGCGCCAACTAGCGGTGGGGTATCTGAAGCTGGCTCATAACCTGAATTTTAGCTCGCAACTCAAAGCAAACAATCGGCCAAGAGACAGCTCGTATCTGGAAAAACTCATTAGTCGGGACACTCGCAAGTCAAGGCCCCACTGTATAATAGAAGTAATCCTATTATTTGCAGATTTTTAATATTTTCTATAACTTTTGTGATATCTACTACGCTAATACAGTTATGGTAGTATTATTATACTGAAATCCTTTTATTCTTGAAATATTAATGATTATTGCATGTAACATTATTATATGTAAGATCATTTTTCCTGAATAATTGGTGTCTATTGCATGTAACATTATCATATTTAAAATAGTTTTTCTTGAGATATTGTTTATTGCATGTAACTTTATTATATTTAAGATAATTTATCTTGAAATATTAAGGTTTATTGCATGTAACATTATTATTTTTAAAATCGTTTTTCTTGAAATAAAAAAACTGGGGGGGAAAAAAGACACTACCGCCGGGCGCCAGGGTCCTGAGCCCGCCGGCAGCGGCGCCCCGGGAGCGGCAGAGCTCGGCCGGGAGGCGAGGGCTGGCGGCCCGACGTCTCCGTGCGCTCCGGGCCCTCGGCCGCGCGCTCAGGCGGCAGCTGACCGCCCAGGGCCTCCGCGGGGTCTCCACGCGCGCTCGGGGCACGGGGACCCTTACCTCCCCGCTTTGCAGCGAAGACCGCGAGCTCCCACGGCTTCCGCCCGCCGGCTCCGCGCCACCAGCGCCCCCGCGCCCCGCCTGAGCCGCCACCAAGCGGCGCCGAGGGGGGGGAGCGGGCTGCGCCGTCTGCAGGTGACGTCTCTGGGACCATCACCTGCGGTGACGCGCGGGGAGGGGACGGCTCAGAGGCCTGGGGGGACGGGAGCCCCGAGTCCGGTGCATTCGCCCCCCACGGCGGCGCCCCTCCGCTCCCCACGTGGCTCAGCGTCTTGGCGGGGGTCATGGCGCCGGCTCCGCGCCCCAGCCCAGCCCGGTCATCTCAGAATGACAGGCAGCCTGTCATTTACCGACTGAACCGGAGCACGAACGGGCCCGGGACGCGGTGCCCGTGCCGGTGCCGGCGCCGACCGGAGGCCGGGGCGTTTGAGATGGAAAGGCCCGGGAAGGGAGCGGCGCGGTTGCCATAGACACCGGTCCGGGTCGGGAAGGCGGGCAGCCGGTGTGGGCGCCCCTCCCGGGGCTCTCCGTGCCGGAGGCCTCCACTCACGCTTCTCCTCCCGTGGAGGCCAGGCGGCGGCTGCAGAGGGTCACCTGAGCGGCTCGGGAGGGAGAAGGGCACTCCGGCCACTGCCGGCCCCGGCCGCCGCCCCAGGGGCCTCGGAAGCGCAGCCCCAACCGGTCACACCCTCCTTTACGGCTCAGCTGGCTTCCCTGGCCCTCGGTCCAAACGCAAACTCAGCCCGGGAGTTTACCAGACCCACCTCCTCCTCTCACCTCGGGGCCCCCCCAAACTGTGCCCCCCCCTCCCAGCGCCAACTCCAGACCAGGGCCCTGACCCCCGAGCTCAGAACTCAAGCCAGGTTCCCCATCAATTGGTCAATTGGTTTCTCCTCCCTCCTCCGGAAGACAAACTTCCAGGGAGGCCCGGCCGGGCTCAGTGGGTGAGCGTCAGCCTGTGAACCAGGAGGTCGCAGTTCCACCCCAGGTCAGGGCACAGGCCCGGGTTGCAGGCTCCATTCCCGGTGGGGGGCGTTCAGGACGCAGCTGATCCAT